AATTGGTTCTTTGATATTAACTAATAGCAACTATAAATAGTTTCATACAACTTATTTAAAACTAATACTGTTTCGTAAATGATAAATAGATACAGCGCTAAAACGATTAATTTTTTTGCTGGATAAAGTTTGTGTTAGAAGAAATTACATGACCCGTTATCGTTTATTAGTACGAGAATTACTAGGACGAAGGTGTTAGAAACATTTTACGGAGGAGATAAAAATCGACTATAAAACATACAATTAGTCTTTTTTTTTGCTTTCAAAGACTTCTAACCCTGCCTTGTCATGACCTTAATGACTAATATTGATCAATGGTGTACAAAGTGTTCGTCGTAACGGTCGCCACAATCTTGCAGATTGTTTCGATAATCTGGCAAGAAAATGTTAACGTAATATGTAAACTTAATTATTCAACGATGAAACGATTAGAACAATTTCTGTTATATATAAAAATTAATATTAATTCCTCATATAAAACCCTCTTATTTTAGAATTTATTTCTGTATATTATCGTTCTGTTAAATTTGTTTAAAGAAATAGTTCTTTACGAACCACCGTAAAACTTTTTATGGAAACGTCCATTTCTACGAACAGAATATTCGATAATGCACGAACTGTTGCACTTTACAGTAAAAATTAGTGCATCTCGTGAAATAATTTAAATTGGAAAATATAGGTCACAGCCAATGGACTCTTGAAGGATATTCACGCTGCATTTTGAAATTAATTTACGGAAGCACGACTCCGTGGGAAAAATTTTTAATTTAATTCAAATTCAATTTACAGTTTTTAATATTTTTTCTCCGTGTAACCTACTCGTAGGTTTAAAAATGCGTAGCAAAATAATTATAATAATAGTTTGTAATTTCAATATAAAAAAATATTAGAAAAATGTAAATAAAATAAAACAGTCTTGAATTCAGGGGGATTTGTCATTGTCCAATGCTTTGGTCCACGCTACGCTAACTCCACAAAGACTATCTATCAACTGCATCATTTTACAACGAGTCATGCGAGTAGTTGAATATAAGTTTGTCAATTAAAATTTTAATACAGCAAAACCACGTTGCGTGAAGGAAATCTGTCCCGAATGATCACATTTCTCACTGAATTTACCGCGACGATTACGCGGTAGTGTTCCGACCAGCCGCTAGAGGGATCAATATCAAAAATTCAATATGGCGGTTGCGATGGCGGTTAATTTAAAACGTGCAAGAAAATATCTGGAAAACTTCGAAAAAGAAATATAAATATTTATTGCAGCGTGTTTGTATTTCGAAATGATGCAAATTGCACACAAAATATTTGTAAGTGGGGTCTGAATATATAAACCGATTTGAAATCAAAAACTTTTGCTCGATCTATACATACACTTTTTTTTATACCGTGTACATTTATCCGAAATAGCTTTTAACCGCGACTGACCATCAGGATCTGTCAATTTGCATATTTATACATTCGAATATTCTCGTTACGTACGTCAATTTAAATTTTAATATGTACAAATCGTTGCATCTATCACACGTTGTCTATCAATTTAACTTTTGACATTTACAAATGTTCGTAGCTAGTAATCGAATGAAGACGCATCGAGTAACATATTTATGCCAACAGTTGCTACATTCGCCAGCAGAGGGCTACGCTCTCTCACAAGTACTCCATCGATCACACATCTATTCTATATTTATAGAAAAATATTCGACCAGCCCACCTTTATCGCGTCTTTTCAAGGTTTTTAACCTTTATAAAAAATCGAAATTCATTCCCAACGTTTGAGGTTACTGCTCGATCGCACACGACCGTGTAGTTCAACGTTATTTCCAATAATCGGAGACCCTTCTGCAACAGTAACCCGTATAAAAATGTCAGCGTACGTGCCGTGCCGGATCGCGATCTCAATTACCGTCAGCTCGATTTTTCCGTGCCTCAAACAGTCACCAGGACGCGTTTATTTCCTTCTATTTGTCGGTTGCGGCCCCGGTAATGAGCGTCGCCGGGAGATTACGCTCGAGATATTATATCCGTCGATTCGAATCCGCTCTGTCGGACGAAATTCCAGCGACGGAGACGGCGATACGTTATCGCGATGGATTCCTTTGGGATTGACATCAATAAGAAACCACGGATAGCTAGTCTCTGGCGGTAATTATTGGTTTCGTAAAGCTAGGATATTAGCTGGAGCCGGTATCCGCGACGCTGCCAGGGACACCTGGCTGTCGGTGAATCATTGATGTTGTGATTAAATCCCCATCCTCTGTACCACGGACATAAAAGGCATCGATACTGATCACGATTCTCTATAGGAATATCAGAGCTGCGAACGATAGTGATTGTTCCGACCTTGCGTGGGGATTTCGTCATCCAACAAGTGGCTTTTCACATTAGAAATGGAAACCTTGTCCGAAAATTTCCTTTACCGGACACGGAGTTCTTTAAACAGACATTTTAGATCAGAGATTGAACGTTCCGTCGTTTATTTCGTATAACCAACAGGTCTGTAGTTACGGGAACGTTCAATCTTCGGAATAACGAGCCGTCGAATTCAATGGTAATACGACGTCCCCGTTATTATCATTCTTAATAGCTGATAGAACTTCTCTTCGCGTCTCGTTATTCTCGTTATTCCGCAGAAGTTCCCCTTTAATTTTACGGTGGCAATGAATCAAATAAACATAAGGTCGCCATTAACGATTAGCTCCAAGCGTGGGAACAAAGCCCAAGTCCTTGAAGGATTTAACCACTCCGAGAGTTTCTACTCTTCTGGGGGAGTTTGATTTCACGGGAGTAAATCACAAGTTCCTACCTTTCGAAGGGACACGAGCAGACAATGGCCCCCTTAAACAATACCCCTATATTAAACGGGATTCCTTTGCGCAGTATCAATGACATAACCGAACAGAATGCTCACGGTGTTCCTTTTATTCGCGTGATTATATCCTTTGCTATTCGACGAATCAATATTTTTGGCTTTGGTAACATTTGCAGTCAACTTAATTCACAAAAAAATAATTAAAAATAATTTAAATTTAATTATAATTTTAATATAATTTAAATAATTTTTGTTATTGATAGTATGCTTTAAACAAAACTTATTTTGCTCTTTCATTCGTCGAAACATCACGAGAATATAAAATTACATTTATCTGTTTCGAACGTTTTCAACCCTTCTATTTTCATATCAATTATATCCCTTACTATTTAATAAATGAATATTTTTGGCTGTGGTATCATTTGCAGTCGATTTAATTCACAAAAAATAATTAAATTTATTTTAGTAATTGATAGTATGCTTTGGACAAAAATTATTTTGATTTTTCATTCCTTGAAACATCACGAGAATATAAGATTACACTTATGTGTTTCGAACGTTTTCAAGCCTTCTATTTTCATATTAATTATAACATTTCGTATCAATTATATCCTTTACTATTTAACAAATGAATATTTTTGATCGTGGTAACATTTGCAGTCATACGACTTAATTCACAAAAAATATTAAAATTGATATTACTCTTTAAACAAAACTTATTTTGCTCTTTCATTCGTCGAAACATCACGAGAATATAAAATTACATTTACGTGTGTTTCAAGCTTCCTATTTTCGTGTCAATTGTAACACCGCAGAAGCAAATAACTTTATTTATAAAAATATCGTTGACATTGAAATCTCGAGTCCGTGACAGTTCGCGTGATCGTTAGGAAACGGATATAAAGAATGCAAGAATTCTGCTAAATATTTAATTCATCGTGGAACGAGACGTTAGTTGTAGCTGCTCTAAAATTAAACTTTGCCTTTTGAGGTATGATTCGACGAATCTCCGAGCGGACAACCCATCTGCAGCTTTAAAGCAATCTACGAGATACCGGGACACGCTCACTTTTTAACCCCGTGCCTTTGGTCGCGCAGAGGACCGAGTGGTTGTAAGAAACGGCGACTGCAATGCGACCGACGCGAATATTTCGGTGTCCCTATGTATATTTAATTTATACGAAAGCCGCAGAAGGTTTCGGCGTGCAGCGAACAAAATTCATGGATGCAGCGCGCGCCGGAAATTTAGACGACCACATTATAGTACGGGTTTTATTTTTCGCCCGCGAAAAATTTACTTTCACGACCCTAGTTTCGATCGATACCCACGCAGCCTGCGTGCACGAATTTATATTTAACCGGGCAGATAAAATCGAACGTTCCGTTTCACCTTCGATCGTATTAACCGAACAGAAATCGAAACCGTTCGAGAAATTATTGGAACATTATCTCGCGAGAGGGTTGACTGTATTTATATTTGTGCATATTTTATTACGATTCAATTCAGTTTCGTGTGACTTTAAATATGAAGGTATAATTTAGAAGATTTATCAGAATTGCGTTTGTTATTTTCGAGAACGAGGCGATTTGTAACTCCTGTTTTCCTTAACTTGGCAACTCGTAATTATCATACCAATTAGAAAGTTCCTTACGAATCGCAGTGGTCTGCTTATTTTAACGTCTTTGGAACCGGGTAATTATGCAAAACACGATACGTGCATGCAGATAAAATTATACGGTACTGTTTTATAGTGCACCTAAATGTACTCGCACATATGTATGTCATTTGACTCGAGGTACTATGAATATTACATACCATCAGATTTTATATTTTTCGTCGATTAGAAAATTGTATTAGAGAATATAATTAAATTCAGAGACTGAAAAATAGTGTGCACTTTGCAACTGCAGCGGTCCATCTGTGAAAAACATTGTTATCCTAACACGTTTGCCTAACTTCGTTTGAAATGTGTATAAAATATAATTGTCGATGATCAGAGCGTTTCAAACATGTTCTTCCGCAAAAATAATTTTTTTAGAATTAACATCGTAATCTCAAGCTCTGTAGCAAGACGAAAGCTGTTAATGGGAATGTTTTGCGTATGAAAATGCTTTTGGAATTCGACTTGATTCTAATGCGTAAAAATATATAGATATTGTTTGATTACGAACTTACTCGTACACTCACCGGAGTAAAACAGAAGTCCATTCGGCTGTCTCGTTTTGAATTGCAACATTACGGATTCCTGAGTGCTCAGGATTGGAGTGCCCTTGCTCAAATCTATCGTGAGATACTCCGTCCCTCTGAAAGATGCCTCGGAAGACGCTTTATCTGTAACAAACAAAATTTAAATTATTTAATACAAATGTAACTCCACTGGCTTATCGTACTAATAAGAACTATAAAGATAATATTGATTAATATTATTTTTATTTAGTTTAATATATTGATAGTGGTCTTCTTTGCTAATAAAAAGTCTTCAAAATAAACATACAGAAAAGACTAAAATTCGTAGTTGAGTTTCAGTAGTTTATAAAGATAATATTGATTGCAGAATTCTTTTTCGATTAACCAAAACAATATTATTTTTATTCAGTTTAATACTTTGATAGTGGTCTTCTTTGCTAATAAAAAGTCTTCAAAATAAACATACAGAAAGGACTAATATTTGTGGTTGAGTTTCAGTAGTTTAATCAGGAAGGTATATAATAAAGATAGTTTTAAAAAACAGTTAAATTATTTTCTTCGTTTTACAGCTCTTTTTTAGAGCGATTCTTGGAACCGCACGAGTGTGGTTACACACCAAAACTTGCACGACTGCAGTTAGGGGTTAACCACCGTGCAGCGGTGCACCATAATACTGTGAAGATGGATACACTGTGTCGCGAGTGTACAGTAACAGATCCAACGAATTTTTACTCTTTTGCAGCTTTTAAAACCGTTATTATAACTCAATTATTGCTTGACATTCATTTTATCTTCAGAAAAAGAAATTACACTTAATTGGTAATCAAACTAAATAATAGGTGCTCGAACTATTTGGTATTTTAAACTTAATGTTAGAGATCTCACTTGAGAAATTTCAAAATACAATTCTACAATACTTAATTTATCAATATTATTATCAAAGCTGGGCAAATTTTATTCACGTACAACAAATAACAATTTTTAAGAGAACAAAATAACTCTGATTATTAGCTCCTGCAAAATGCCACTATCATTTAAACTACGAACTAATAATAACTTAACTCACTTGAGAAATTTCAAAAAACAATTCTACAATACACATTTACAAAATAGAGTACGTCTAATGACTCGTGAATTTATCAATATTATTATCAGAGTTGGACAAATTTTATTCACGTATAACGAATAAAAATAACTAACTTTGATTATTACCTCCTGCAAAAGGCCACTACTATTTGGACTACGAACTAATAATAATTTAACGAACTTCGCGTCTCGCTTGGCAGAGAGATTCCTTTTCGAACGTTCGCCACCCGCGTCCAAATAGAAACGTTCCCCCGCGACTCTGTCGAAAATTAATAAAGCCACGGCGAAGATGCGTCGGCTTTAACTTCGACTTAATTAAAAGCAACGAGCGGGACGCGCTAGCTTTTCCCTTTTTTTTTCTCCTCCCCCCCTCTCCTCTTTTTTTAATACACTCAAGGTTTTTAATTCAGTCTCGAGACGTCTGATCTCGCGTCCGCCGCGAGTGCACGCCGGGCGAGACCTCTCTCATTATTTTCCATCGTTCCATTGTTATCATGCGACCAAACAAAAGTGCACCGAGGCAAGGCCAGGCAAAAAGGCCATAAGACGAGCTTTAATGGCTTTGGAGTCGCGCCAAATCGCGCCACTCCGGGGGTTGAATGCACCGACTCGCCGATTGAAATGTTCATTACCACCGCAAATCATCAGCCAATCCGCGTGGGAGGGGGGGGACGGGACGTAACAGTCGCGACGGTTCTCGGAGCCACTTTCGTGGCTGGTAATTTTATTAAGGGAGATCCTTCGATCTCAACATTCGAGATCCAAACCACGTGGCTGGCAAATTAAATGCGCGGAGTATATTAAATACTCGTCAAAATGGCGAAATTAAATTATACTCTACATATGCAATTCGAATCAGTAAAAAATAACTTGAAAAATTATCGTAATTTCAAGAATTTTTTGAATTTTAAGGTACTAGAAGGCTCAGAAGGTATTAAACACTAGAGCCATCGACAATTATAGTTTCTTAGTAGCAAAAAAATTAAAATGATAGATACTTGAAAAAATGCATCATACAATGGAAATAAATGTTTATTCATTCTCTTATAGAAGATCACAGTAAATTTGCATAAATACAGTCGATTAAATTTGTAACAATTGTTAGTAAAAATTCTGAATTTTGATCAGTTCGATAGTTCTAGTTTTAAAGAGAATATTATTACTTCAAATGATATCTAACCGAATTTGTGTTGTGGCGTCGCTTTCCATGTTCGCCACTAGAGGGCTCGCGCTCTCACAAGCGCTCGACCGACCCCTCCGTTGCTATATATGTGCTATATATATGCTCTCACGATAAAAATTGTCGTAATTTCAAGAATTTTTTGAAAGCTTCGTGTTTCAGTATTAAACACTACAGTCATCGACAATTACAGTTTATTAGTAGCAAAAAAATTAAAATAGATATTTGAAGAAATGTTCAATGCAATGGAAATAAATGTAATTCGTTCTCTTACAGAAGATCGCAGTAAATTTGCAAAAATTCTGTCAAATAAATTTCTAACAATTTCTATTAGAACCTACGAATGTGTCATTTTTGTGTGTCAGCATGAATTCTTGATTTAAAAGAGAACTGTGAAGCCAGACAATAATTCGAAGACGTCAAAATTATCTATTAAATCTAAACTATTACCATCACATTAAATATTCTATTCCTCACAGTAGGACGTGTGTGTTTAATTAATTATTCCCGTACCATGTCTAACAACTTTGACCAGTTCTAGCGTCAAAGGGAGCATTATTACCCCAAAATAATATCCATCAACGCGTCTGTAAACGTTCGCGCAACTGTTCCGCGAACGATCAGAAATCACGAGGAGCGTTTTAGAATACGGCTCCCCGTTTAAACTTTCCCACTTGACAGCGTAACGTTGCTCACTTTCGATCTCCCCCTCCGTAGCACGTCGTTTCAATCCCCGCGAAAGCCGTGCACGCGTATCAAAAGGATCACCAAGCTGTTCGCTATTGTAGCGTTCGTCGCTTCGCAAAAAACGACACTTTCGCGGATGGAAAGCCCCGGCTATCCAGCAGAAGATCACTTCCACAATTCTCATCTCGTGTCTGAGAGGCGCGTAGACGCCCACCTACACGCCCGCGCTCGCTTTTTTCACCACCCCGTCGTTCAAAGGGAGGACGCACGCGTGGAGGTATCATTAGCCGCGTCCAAGGGTAAAATCCTCAGAATCCTCTTTCCGCTCTCCTAGCTTTATGCTCGTTCGTTTTTGCGCGTCTCGCGAGGGGGGCCGAATGAATCGCCCTGGAAACGATGCAACAAACGACCGAAGAAAACGACAGCAATCCTGTTAAACAAACGTAGTTTGCATCGACCGAGCACCGACGCCGTGGAAACGTTCTTTTGATCTTGACTAGATAATTTTATTCCTTTGTGGATCCATTCTTTACCCGTGGATCGTCTGTAAACGATATTCGCGCGCCTCTGTTCCGTCTACGAGTATCATTGCCCTAGGAACGGAGCTGCTCGCGACAAATAATTCGAAACTCGTTCGAGATTAAAAATATTGTCGAGAATTTGATTTTACACCGCATGAAAGGATCGATGTATTTGATATCGGGGTAAATATTCACTCGAGATAAGCGCCTCACCGATCGAATTTACGATTCGAGCCTGCATATTAATCTTTAGATTAAGAAAGTTATCTGCATCTTTTCCAGTGCGTATTTTCAATTAACTCGATTACGGGGCGGGGGAACTTCAGAATTGTAATTAGAACTTGGGGGACACGAAGTTCTCGAGCTCCCAGGCAAAGGCAAGAGCATCTTGGACAGAGAAATTAGAACCTGTACTTAGCGTTACATCAGTTTCTGAAAGCGGAGCTATTCGAACGAAGCTTTCAGCAGATTTCATTGAACTCTTGCCTCGAAAGCCGTTCGAACTTGCCACTCGAACTCTTTCCACTATTTTTAACGTACGAACTTGCACTATAATTTGAATTTCTGTTGAATTATTTTACAGATACTGTACTTAATATGTACAATTTCTTGACAGTAATTTTATTATGAATTAAACACATATTATTTTATTCATATAACATTTGTAGAATACTTTGTTCAAACATTGCACTGTAATTTGAATCTGTGTTGAATAACCACGAATCTACTGTGTCTAATATGTACAATTTTATTATGAATTAAACACCTATTATTTTCTTATATGAGATTCGAGTTCCTCATGATTAAAACATTTGTAGAATACTTTGTTCGAATGATAGTGTTTGTAACAAAAGAAGGGTCGAAACACGAGACCAGAAAAGAATAAAAATACTGGCGAAACCGTTCTAAAGCGAAGGAGGGTAGGAATAATGGAGACAAGTAGATAGTGTTATGCTTACGTTGTTCTTTAAAGTTTCAAGTATATATTTGCGGCTCGGTACGGTAAAATCAGGTTCAACAGGAACATACTGCGACAACGTTGTTATTTGAAATTTAAGACTCGTAGTAAATATACATTTTTCAGGGAATCGCGAAGCGTTACGTACTTATAAGGAATAACAAGGCGAGTTTGAAGAGTACCCCTCTCGGTACAAGAGAAATTACCGAAACTTCGAAAATGTTCGTTAAAAATGAATCTACTTCCAAGTTATAATTCCGTTCGAATAAAATATACAGCAACAGTGAGGGAGGGGGAACAAATTGTAAACGCGATCCGAAAGACGAGACAGATTTTACTGGCAATAATTTCGAAACTCGCGGATGAAATGCAAATTCGTTCGCCGGGGGGCAGAAATTTTTATAGACGATCTGCATATAAGGTTTCAGTCGAACTTTTACCGTGGCGGATTTCTCTGTTTGTGTTTCATTTGAAATTCGAAATTAAATCTTGCGTCGAGGAGATGATATATAATAGGGGGAGAATGAATAGTGGAGCATTCTAATAATTCAGCGTTAGGGCAATAGAAGTTCCATTGTACTATCGAAGCATAAGGGACGTACAGGGAGTCATGGTACGTTTCGATATCAGTTTAATGACGCCAAGTCGTTCGCAGAGACATTAAGTGAAACATTTACTTTTATAGATATTACTCGATTACAGTGTAATGACA